TGTGGGCAGTGTGTTTTACAGGTGAATCAGAAGTAACACATCGTAAACAAGTGGATTGGGTTGAGGGGACCAATCACCATTGGATTTGGGAGTTGGAAGTTGCTGCTGTGAATGCTGCTCCAGTTTGAGACAGAGAGATGTCCTATGAAGTGTCTCTTCTCCCTTGAAGAAGAAGGTTCACGTGAAAGCACAGCTTGCTTTTGTACAGCAATTCCTTTTGTGTCTTTTTATCATCGTCTGCATATTGTGCTACTCACATTGAACTCATATGACTTCAAGATCATGTTCGAGTAATCTACTGTTGATTCTCTTGGAGAACATAGTTGGTGTTAGCAGGAGATTTACAGAAACCAACATCAAATGCTACATTGGATATGTTTACGATTCAATGAATCTTCTTCTTCTACAAAAGGGAACCCTCATGAACATCGAAGTCGTCTGATGTCACCTTTACGTAAGTCTCTTTTGTAACAGTTCTCATTAACATTCATAATTGATAATAAATTCCTTCATTTATTATAGTTTAAATATTTTAATTTTTTATTTATTATAAATAAAATCGTTATTATTAAATATTTTATTTAATATCATTAAAATTTTTAATTATGATCCAAACATTATAAATTTGAATTAATTCTTGAACGTTATGAGTTGGTAATAATAAATATTCTTGATGGGAGAACATCTATATAAACGATGATTTTGGTCGATGGACTTAACATCACTTTGAAGTCAAAAGGATTTCCTAAACCATTTAAAGTGAGAGTTCTGAGCCGAGAAGTGCCAAAGTTCAAGAAGAAACCATTACAGAAATTGACATAAACATGTTTGATTTTATGCAGTTTTTCAAACTATTAATTTCTCTTATATTCGATGTGATATTCCTAGTGGTGATAACTATAAGATATGGAAGGAGATGGTTCTCCTCCATTTAGGATGGATAGATATTGATTATGCTATTAGGAAAGACGAACTACTTATAGTTACTAATACCAGCACTCCAACTGAGGTCGCGTTATATAAGCGATGGGAGCGATCCAATCGGCTCAGCGTGATGTTTATCAAGATTAAGATAATTGCTGGCATACGTGGTTTTGTTGACCAGCATGAAAAAGTCAGAGACTTGCTACAAGCTATTGATGAGCAATTCGTCACTTCGAAAAAGGCACTAGCAAGTACCATAATAATGAAATTTTCTTCCCTTAGACTTACCAACATAAAGGGTATGCATGAGCATATAATGCAAATGCGAGATATTGTAGCTCAACTTAAGAAACTCGAGATTAATATGTCAGAATCTTTCCTAGTGTAATATATTCAGAATACTCTTCCACATCAATACAGACATTTTAAGATTTTATATAATACACATAAGGATAAATGGTCAATCAATGAATTAATGACTATGTGTGTTCAAGAAGAAGAGAGGCTAGTGATGGAATTGGGTGAGAGTGCATTGGTAGTAACCACTCGCGGAAAAAATAAAACTGATAAAAATCAAGCCAATCAGAAAGCTTACTAGTATGGAAAAGATAAAATACCACCCTGAGCTGATATCATGAAAGAAACAAGGTGTTTCTTTTATAAAAGAAAGGGACACATGAAGAAGAAATGCACGAAATTCCAACAATGACTTTGAAAAGAAAGTAAACCAATCTCGTTTGTGTGTTATGAATCTAATATGGTTAATGTTAATATTAACACCTATTTGATTAACTCTGGATCAACAATCCATATTGTAAACTCTTTGTAGGGTATGCAAAACCTAAAGAAGCTAGTGGAAAGTGAGCAAAACATCTTATCAGGAAATAAGATAGGCTCACATGCGGAGGCAATTGGAATATACATTTTAACTTTAAGTAGTAGTTTTGTTTTAAAATTGGAAAGAACCTTTTATGTACCAAGTTTCTCATTAAACTTAATTTCTGCTTCTAGACTCGTACCATTTGAGTATTCCTTTAATTTTAAAGATATATCATTTCATTTATTATATAAATATGATTGTGTTGGGAAAGGTATTTTGTCTGATGGTCTTTACCGTATTTTATTATAAAATGATGATACTCAAAGTTAAATGCATGTTCATGTTGGTACTAAAATGTGTAATATTAATGAAGACTCCTCTATATTATGACATCGAAGATTATGACATATTTCGATAGAGAGAATTAAGAGATTATTTAATGATGAGGTACTTAGTATTTTTAATTTTACTAATTTTAAGACTTGTGTGGACTATCTTAAGGGAAAGTAGAATAAGTCTAAAAAGGGTGCTAATAGGACTTCAAATATATTAGAGATCATTCACACTGATATATGTTGTTTAAACATGGACACACATGGCCAGAAATACTTCATCTCCTTTATAGATGATTACTCACGATATGTGTATATCTATTTGCTTCATAATAAAAATGAAGGGGTGGAGAATATTATGGTAAATATACTGAAAATGGACAAGCACCTGGTCATTTTGCTAAGTTCCTTCAAGAACATGAGATTGTTGCCCAATACACTATACCTGGTTCTTTAAACTAGAATAGTGTTGTAGAAAGAAGAAACCGAACATTATTAGACATGGTGCGGAGTATGCTTAGTAACTCCAATCTTCCTAAGTTCTTATGGATTGAAGTACTAAAGATGACTGTGTATATATAAACAGAGCTCCAACCAAGACTGTCCAAAAGACACCATTTAAATTATGAAAATGTTGGAAACCGAATTTATGACATATGCGAATTTGGGGATGTCCATCTAAAGTTAGGATATATAATCCACAAGAGAAGAAATTGGACTTGAGGACTATCAATGGATATTTCATTGCATATGTCGAAAAGTCCAAAGGTTACAGGTTCTATTATCTATCTCACACAACTAGGATTGTGGAATTAAGAAACGCTAAATTTCTTGAGGATGATGTGATTAGTGGGAGCGACCATTTCAGGAACATGGTTTATGTACATGATCATATAGAATCTCAACCTTCCACATCAAATGATATATTAGTTATAGTTCATAGAACTCCTCAAGTACAAACTAGTGCTGAACAGCCAATTATTGAAATTTCACAAGTTACTGATAGTATTCTAATAGATCAAACAGTTCAAGAATTATAACAAGCTCCTGAACAACTAGTTGAACCACAAGTTCCTTAGAAAAACATTAGTACAATATTAAGAAGATCTACTAGAAATAAAAGATTAGCAATTCCAAGTGATTATATTATATATCTACAAGAATCCAACTGTAATATTGGAGCAAAAAATGATCCTAAAACTTTTTTACAAGCCATGAGTTGCAAAGAATCAAATTTATGACACGATGCCATGAAAGAATAGATGAATTCCATGATGAGCAGTGGAGTCAGTGGAGTCAGGGATCTTATAGAGTTGCCTAATGAAGCAAAAGTTATTGGCTACAAATGGGTCTTTAAAACTAAGAAAGATTTATTATGCAATATTGAGAGATACAAGGCAACTTATTGCAAAGAGATTTACTCAAAAAGAGGGAATCGATTATATGGAGTCGTTTTCTCTTGTATCTAAGAAAGATTTTCTTCGTATCATTTTGGCATTGGTTGTTTATTTTGATCTTGAGTTGCAACAAATGGATGTGAAAATAACATTTCTTAATGGAGATCTAGAAGAATAGGTTTATATGAAATAACCCGAAGGTTTCTCCTCTAGTGTTGGTAAACACTTGGTTTGTATACTTAAGAAGTCTATATACGATTTAAAACAAGCTTCCCACCAATGGTATTTTAAATTCTATGAAGTGATTTATTCATTCGGAGTTGTTGAAAATCCCATGGATTAATGCGTATACCAGAAAGTCAGTGGGAGTAAAATATGTTTTCTTATTTTATACGTAGATGATATTTTGCTTGCAACATAAGGGTTTGCTACATGAGGTGAAATAATTCATTTCTAAAAATTTTGACATGAAGGATATGGGTAAAACATCTTATGTCATTGGCATTAAGATCCATAGAGATAGACCTCGAGGCATTTTAGGTCTATCACAAGAAACTTATATCGATAAACTTTTAGAAAGATTTCAGATGAAGGATTGTTCACCAAGTGTTGCTCCCATGATGAAAGGTGATAGGTTCAATTTGAACCAATGCCCAAAGAACAACCTTGAAAGGGAATCAATGAAAAACATCTCATATGCTTTTGTCATAAAAAGCCTATGCTCAAGTCTGTACTAGACCTGATATTGCATTTGTTGTGGGGATGCTAGGTTGATATCAGAGTAATCCAGGTATGGACCATTGGAGAGCTGCAAAGAAAGTGGTGATGTATCTACAAGGAACCAAAGATTAAATGCTTATGTATAGACATACAAATAATCTGGATGTGATTGGTTATTCAGATTCAGACTTCGCCGGTTGTGTTGATTCTCGTAAATCAACATTATGATATATTTTTATGATGGCTGGTGAAGCTATTTCCTGGAGAAGCACTAAGCAAACCTTAACTGCTACTTCTATCATGAAAGCTGAGTTTGTCTCTAGTTTTGAGGCTACTTTACATGGTGTATGACTTAAGAGTTTCATTTCTGGGCTTAGAATCATTGATTCTATTTCTAGACCATTAAAAATTTTTTGTGATAATTCAGTTGATATCTTTATGGCTAAAAATAATAAAAGTCGAAGTCGAAGTAAATACATCAACATTAAGTATTTAGCTATAAGAGAATATGTAAAAGAAAAGAAAGTGATCATTGAGCATATTAGCACTGAATTGATGATTGTTGATCCTTTGATTAAAGACTTGCAAACTCTGAAATTCAAGGATCATGTAGAGAAAATGGGACTTGGTTCCACTTTTAACAATATTGAAACTCTTATATATTGTGATATTTTCTCATTCATGTATACATTATTTTGAGAAAATATATTTTTACTAGACTAAGAATAAATATAAGGTTTATTCATTAAGTAATGTTACCATATTAAGATTAAGAAACTAAATAT